CAGAAATTTTAGTTTCATGGGGATTTCCCATGATCCTTAGGCTGCTTTGAATATTTGAAAAGAATCAAGCTGAGAAGGGCATGGAGGTACATGCCTGTAATACCAGCACTCTGAGAGGCTGAAGCAAGAGGATCTTAAATTCAAGCCCAGGCTGGGCAATTTAGTGACTTAGAGAGGCTCTATCTCAAAATGTTGAGGTAGCACAGTGCAAAGGTCCTGAGAGCCATCCTCAATATAAGAAAAGAGAGTCAAGTTGTCTACTTTATGAGCCTAAAATGAGATAATTCTTTATAGAGAGAGTAGATTTAGTTTGCTCTCAATCACATCAAGTAGAGATGAGACAGCAAGAGCTGAGTGGCTCATATCTGGTAGCTGCTAGAAGTAACCCAAACACGGATGTGTGGGGAAAGGTGAGGGCGTGAAAAGGTGAGCATGGAGAAGGACTTAATAGATGTTAAAGTTGGATATGCAGGAGTTCCCTTCCACTATAGATGACTAAGTGCCCAGCAGAATAGTTCCCCTTCAGATAACTAATTCTCTATGACAAGATTTTTAAAATCATTACCTGAAGTTTCAGGAGAGCAAAAAAGCAGCCTGATTCTGGAAAGAATGAGACAGACGTGTGGTATGGTGTTTTTTGTTTTTTATTTTATTTTTGATTGGGTAAGTCTCTTTAATGTTAAGGCAGCTCACAGTCATTATGTGGCCTGGCAGCTGAAACTCTAATAGAAAACATGCATCTTTCAGGGTTGAAGAATCAAAAGGTGGACTTTCAGGCAATCATAATTATAAATAGTGCTGGAATAATTGGATTACCTATACAGAACACTGGATGTGGGGGATGATATGAGGGTCATTAGGCTGTCAGCCTCTATAATTTATTTATATTTCTTTATTAGTTGTTATATTTATTAGTACATGTTTATGTTAGATAATGATTACATTCCTGTGAAGAGTTGGTACATGTACATAACACATCTCAATTCTTTTTCTTTCTCTTATGTAAGAGAAATCATGCAATATTTGAATTTAAACTTATGTGTCTAATTTATTTTACTATGAACTCAAGGTGCATCCATTTTCCTACAAATGACTCAAGTTTATCCTTCTTTATGGTGGAGTAGTGCTCTATTTTGTATAAATCCCACATTTTATTTATCCATCTCTCTGTTCATGGACATACAGGCCACCTGCAAGATTTAGCTATTATATGACCTGTTGATATAAATGTGGGTATGTATGTGTCACTGTAAATATCATATCTTGGAGAAGATACCTAGAAGGGAATAGCTCAGTCAAAAAGAATTTCAACCTTTAGTTTTTGGCGGTTTTGGGGTTTTGGTTTTTTTGGTACCGGGGACGAACTTCAGGACCTTGCGCTTGCAAGGCAGATGCAGTGTCACAGAGCTAAATCCTCAGCCCTATATCTTTTAGTTTTTTCAAGATCTCCATAGAGATTTCCATGATGGTTTTACTAGCTCACATTCCCATAAACAGTGGAGAAGAGTATTTTCCCCTCCAGCCTTGCCAGTATTATTATTTGACTTCTTGATGGTAGCCATTCTTTCTGGAGCAAGACAGATTCTGTGTAGTTTTAATCTGCGTTTCTTCAATGGCCAGCAATGTTGAACATTTTTTTCATGCATTTATTTCCATTTGCACTTCTTCTGAGAATTGTGTATTTATTGCAGCAGCCCAATTTTGACTGGGTCTTTTATTTTGGGGGCTGTAAATTTTGAGTTATTTATATATTTTAAATTATTAGTTCTCTGTCTAAGGAACAGCTGGCAATTTTTTCCCATTCTGTAGATCATCTCTTCATTCTTTTGTTGTTTCCTTTGCTGTGCAGAATTTTTATATTCAATATGATCCCATGTGTTGATTCTTAGTACAATTTCTTGTGCAATTGGGGTTCAGTTCAGAAAGCCCTTGCCTGTGTGTTTCCAAGAGTTTTACCTATTTACCTTCAGACAGATTGTTTCTGTTTTCTGTTTTCAGTACAGCTCTATTTGTACCATACGTCTTATGAGCAGTGAATGATCATATCAACTGGTCTTATTTTATGTTTTTGCACTGTAACATCTCAACAGTCTTACTAATCAATGTTTTCTACTAAAGTCCTAAAATTAGCAATTCTTAAATTACTTTTCCCTTTTCTCAAGTTCAACTCATGATCTGCTTTTCAATTATCTTTAGAAAATGAAAACAATCTGAAGAGATTTCCTTCTGTTCTGCCAACTAAATATGTAAAAACGTCTCCATCTGTAAGGAATGTGGTATCTTTCCCAATAATGATTACATTTTACTACCACCTTTTATCTTTGATTAATCTCCACCTGTCTTTTAAAATCCATCCTTTCTACCCACTCAAAGATTTTGAACTTGCAACTTTCTCCATTTTTCTTTCTCTGATATTATCAATTTTCCCTTTTAAAAATCTCTACCCATTCACTTGCTTCATCCTAAAAATATGATATAATATTCTCCATTTCAAAAACAAGCACAAAACTTAGCTTGTGCATTCCCAACACACTGTGACCCCATTTTTATAATATTCTTAATAACAAAGGGGCTCGAAAAGCTATTTATTCCTCCTTTCTCCTCCTATTTTTCCCGAACCCATTTTAATTAGTCTTTTTCCCCTCGCTATTTCTACAAAACATGTTCCTGTCAAAGTCAACATTAACATTCATATCAACACATCCAATGGGTGTTCTTGAGATTCATATTCTCACCCGATAAGCAGCACTGACATAACTTATCATTCCCTTTTCTTAGAACACTGTCTTCTTCTAAATGCTTTGGTCCCCAGGGCACCATTCTCCTGGTTTCCCTTTTACTTCACTCATTCCCACTTCCCCATCAGATTCATTGACTCCTCCTTCACCAATTTCAAAATACTGTGTCCCAGAGTTTAGTTCCTGGTCCTCCTTTATCTTATTCACAT